TCTCTATTTATGCACAGGCATAAATAAGAGTGTGCAGGTATGTGTTGAATGTGCCAAATTTTCCAAAGATTTTATATATATAAAAAAAATATCATCAATAGCTGAAAATATTCATTTGTTGTTCATCCGTTAATGATTCTGTCAAAATAGATAAAAAACATATATATATATATAAATATAAATATAGATAACTAGACTCGTTTCGAAAAACCCTCGAATTTTTGATTTGCTAATCAAATCAATCTCGAGGGAAAAAAAGGTTTTAAAAAAGAAAGAGCTACAAACATGGACTTCTGCCGACAAAAAATCGCACAGATGCAGGTCTGAAGCCCAAAGAAAAACCCGATACGAGTAAACAACTAACTAACAAAAGAGCTCAATACAACCGTAGAGCAGATTAAATACACCTAGTGAGTTAGACAAACCTGGTTTAGGTTTCACCTAAACGGATCGTCAGGGAAAGTTTGGCTGACGATCCGTTTAGGTGAAAACCTAGGTAGGTTTGTCTGGCTCACTAGGTGTATCTCTCTCTCTCTCTCTCTCTCTCTATATATATATATATATATATATATATATATATATATATATATATATATATATATTATAAATTAATTGATTTAAAATATGTTTTTTTCCGCTACACATTTCTAACCATGTTTCAAAAATGGAAGCTAAAAGCCACGAATTTAATTTTGCAATTAAATTAAAGACATTAGTTCCAGTTCGTCTTCAAGCGAATTTTGGAGTAACTTTTAAAATTACTGGGTTTTAAAGACACGGCTAAAATCATGTTTCCATGGTTACAGATAAATCTACTTCAACTGGACAAGGGATGTCTGGGTTTTCTTTATGTCTGCATCATTGTATAGGTTATTAGCTACATTTTAGTAAAGGGTATTAATGCTCTGTAATTTTCCATCGAGCACTATTTTGTAAAAATAAAAATACCTATAAGAACACCGGATTATATATCTTACTGTTCTTTTTTTATATATATATATATATATATATATATATGTGTGTGTGTGTAGATATATATAAAAGTTCATTATCTATTATATATATATATATATATATATATATATATATATATATATATATATATATATATTATTTATATATATATATATATGTGTGTGTGTATAGATAGATAGATAGATAGATAGATAAATAGATAGAACCGGGGAGTAAATTTCAAGTTTTTCTTATTGAATTAGATTTGAAAGTCATTTGGATACGCTGATTACGAATTTTCACTCGGTTTTGCTTTATCAGGTCCTGATTTTGCTCAACATATCTTATCTCCTCTTTCGTCGTATTCATAAAAAAATGATTTTTTTCTCCATACTTGTTAAGCCCTTTTGCAGTTGCATATCATCCAACTAGATTTTTATCTAGGTTTTTATCTATGTGTAACTATTGTTATGCATGCTTTTATATATAACACATTTAAAATATATATTTTTTTTTTCATTTGTATTCCATTTTAATATAATGAAATTAAGCTAAAAAATTCATAGAAGTTTCTAATGTCTCTAGAATATTCTAGATGGACAACTAAAATATATATAAGAGACTCGTTTCCGAAGTTAGTCAGCCAATTCAATGAGTCAGTTATTTTGATCATTAGCATAATTTTGAATTGGCATATGATTTAGTGAGTAAGTTTATCACCATGACCTAATAGATGATTTAATGAAACAAAAGTATATTATGCCTATTCATTCGTGTTTCTAGTTTAGATTCTATTATTATTTCCAATGCTGAAATTTTCGACGGTCCACAAATAAGAACATTATCTAAAAAGAATTTCTCTAGTATCATGAATAAACGCAACACAAGGTGTGGTTCTCATTCCGGAACTTGACAGAAAACTTTTTAGGCCATTATAGCGAAGATAAATATGAAGAAATCGTAAAAAATTGTAAGGGTCTACAAAGATATGAGCGTAAAACTGCATTTTTTGAATAGCCATCTTGACTAATTTCCAAGTAATTTAGTTGATGAAAGTGACGATCAAGAGGAGAGATTCCACCAAGATATAAAATTTAAAGTCCGCTGCAGTTCCCACATGTTGACTAATTACTTGAATTATTTGAAAAGAGATCTGCCATCAACAAGTAAATACGCTAGAAATTCTTGTAAAATAATTGTTGCCACAGTGAAAGCTTCACATGTATATATATATATATATATATGTGTGTGTTTGTGTTTGTATTTATTTATTTTAAGTGATTTCTAAAGATATAATGTAATTTTACTGCAGTTTGAACTGCTCTTATTCATAAAAATTGAATGAAATTCAACACATGATTAATGTTTAGTAAATATGAGAAATGGAACATAAGCTATTGAAAAGAAATAGGTCCTGATAGAGCCCAATTTAAATGACCTCGAATCAAGCGTCAGGCATCATTCAATAAAATGCCCGTTACCCAGTCTAATGAACGTAGGTAGATACTGAACAGAGATATATAATAAACATAGATAGATAGATAGATAGATAGATAGATAGATAGATAATGAACATAGATAGATAGATAGATAGATAGATAGATAGATAGATAGATAGATAGATAGATAGATAGATAATGAACATAGATAGATAGATAGATAGATAGATAGATAGATAGATAGATAGATAGATAGATAGATAATGGACATAGATAGATAGATAGATAGATAGATAGATAGATAGATAGATAGATAGATAACGGACAGAGATAGATAGATAGATAGTGAATACAGATCGATAGATAACGGACAGAGATAGATAGATAGATAGATAGATAGATAGATAGATAGATAGATAGATAGATAGATAATGAACAGAAATAGATAGATAGATAGATAGATAGATAGATAGATAGATAGATAGATAGATAGTAGTGAAGATAGATAGATAGATAGATAGATAGATAGATAGATAGATAGATAGATAGTGAATTCAGATAGATACATAATGGACATAGATAGATAGATAGATAGATAGATAGATAGTGAATACAGATCGATCGATAACGGACAGAGATAGATAGATAGATAGATAGATAGATAGATAGATAGATAGATAGATAGATAGATAGATAGATAGATAGATAGATAGATAGATCCCGTTTTTTTGCAGCGTCATCAAATCCCAAGTTAAAACGCAGCGTCACGTCGTTGATTTTATTTCTTCTACGTGGGGTGAAATTTATGTTTTCCCATATGAAATTCGATACACTTCGGAATAGAAAATTATGTGCCACGGTTTCCGTCCACCGTTCCAGTCTCTTGTTTCCAATTCGAATTTATTACAGAGAACTATTTACGCAGTTCCCGCAGTATGTACTGATTTATCACCTCATTATATCCACATATTGACACTTTCGTTCAAATTAGCCCTTGTTTGATATTTTTCTTTGATAACCTATACGTACTTTGGTAAACAATTACAACCGCTAGGCGTGAGGCCGGAAAATACGTGCGCACATGCGCGTTGTTATTCGGAGGAAGCGATTGTCAATTTTGTTTTTTCGCTAATGTGACGTCAATTGTGGATTAATGTCGGAAATAAATAGCATTTTCCCTCCGATATTGTCAATCCCTTCTATAAAAGTAAAAGATTGTCACGGCATAGAAGATAATAAGGGAATACAAAACGTCGCACGAAGTTTAAAAAACAAAGAACTAAAAAAGAAAACGAGGAAATGAGTGAAAAGATAAAAAAATAAAACAATTGTTCAATTTAGAAAGAATCTATGAAGCCTGGAAAACGAACTCATTATGTGGCAACTAAATAAATGAAATAATAAAATTAAAAAAAAAACAAGTAATTATAAAAGATGAAACTATGGAAAAATATATTTTATGAAAATCCGGAATGGATATGCAAAGAAATACGAAGAAAAAGCAACGGAATAGCATAATTTAAGAAAATAATAATGCGAACATTTAGAGAAAAGAAGGATTTTAAGTCGTCAGAAAGTAAGAGAATATATATATATATATATATATATATATATATATATATATATATATATATATATATATATAATGAAGGAATAAAAAAACAAAGTCATAAAAAGTTAAAGAGAATGTAGGCATAAATGAATAGTTTGTAAAACAAAAGAAATGAAGTCAAAATAATGGACGATGAACGTATATTGTATTCTTCAATTCACAGCAAATGGCGGACAGGGAAAAAAAAGAACTGCTGCGAAAGTAGACATAAAGGAAACAGAATCAATTGTAGGAAAGAAGACAATGTCAAAAAAAAAAACACGAATAAACCAAAAGAAAAGAGAAAAATACAGAATCAATGAAAAATGAAAAAGACGAGGAAGAAAACGAAAGAAAAAAGATTGATTCGCGAAAATAAATTGTGTTCAGAAAAATGAAGCAAGAGGATATAATATCGGGGAAGTGGAAGAATAGAACTAAACGGGGGAGAAGAAAGGGAAACGCCATACCATGTAGAAAGAAAGAAATAGAAAATATTGAGGAAAATGTAGGCAAATGGATGATGAACAGTAAGGGAAAGATGATAGAAGGAAGAGAAATAATGACGGTTTTTCAATGACTGTTTTGTTTTTTTACGACCTATCATTATATTGCAGGTTATTTAAATCCATAAAATATATTTAGATTGCAGTAATTTAAACAACAGAAATATCGTGCTACAGAAGGCTGTTGAGAATACGAAAGACCGGATATGTTCGCAAATGCGATGTTTTGGGGGAAAAACAAAAAACAAAAAAGGACACTTATTCTTAACATAAGGAAGAGTCGTTTAAACTTTTGGAGCACATGATGAAGAAATATGGTTTAAAGAATTTGGTACACACAGTCAGAGTGAAGGCAAGAGGGTCAGAGGAAAGCAACTCTTTACCCACCTGGCGAGCTTGCGTGACTAGATGGCGGAAAAAAGTTTTAGGAGAGTTAACAAAAAAGACACAGAGCTAGAAAAGAATATTGTGGAGAGCCATGATCGCCAACGTTCTGAAGAGAGACAGCACATAGAATAAGAATAAGGATTTACTGCTACCGGTTCTCATAATTAACCCATAGGTAGGGGAAGAAGATTTGAATTCATAACTTACCGAAGGGTATTTGTGCGTAAGTAAATATAAGAAAACCGACTAAAATTTGAACTCGGCTCTCTAATCCCTGATTCCGTGCTGGCATCGATTAGACCACAGCACATCCATGCTTGCAGACATAAAAGGCAGGCGTGGACACCTCGGCGTGGGCAACTCGGCGTGGGCAACTCGGCCTGGGCACCTCGGCCTGGGCACCTCGGCCTGGGCACCTCGGTGTGGTTTAAGGGTTAGCATGCTTGTCTCGCTAGAACAATTACGACTGAGTAGTGAATTCGATACTCACTGGGTGCTTCATACTGTCGGCCTTGTACCGCATCTAAGCTACGCTTGGAAGATCACTATATCTCTTTGGCCTTGTATAACGCCTAAGCTATGATCAGAAAAACATTTTGGGCACCTCGAGTTAGTTTAATGGTTAGAAAACTAGTCTCACTAGAACATTTACGACTGTGTAGTGTATTCGATACTAACTGGGTGCTCCATACTTTCGACCGTGTGCTACATCTAAGCAACGCTTGGAAGATCACTATATCTCTTTGGCCTTGCCCAAAATCTAAGCTAGCCTTAGGAAATCATTTTGGGTACCTCTAGGTGATGTAATGATTATCAAGCTTTTATTGCTAGAACAATTATGACTGAGTAATGAATTCGATACTCACTGGTTGCTTCATACTTTCGGCCTTGTGCCACATCTAAGCTACGCTTGGAAGATCGCTATATCTCGTTGGCGTTGTGCAACGTCTAAGCTATGCTTAGAAAATCATTTTGGGTGCCTCGAGATGGTTTAATATTTAGCCAGCTTGTCTCGTTAAAACATTTACGTCTAAGTAGTAAATTCGATACTCAATGAGTGCTCCATACTTTCGGCCTTGTGCCACATCCGAGTTACGCTTGGAAAATCGCTATCAGAGGCAGGCGTCGGGGTTGAATTGAAAATAAAAAAGAATCGTACTACAGGAGAAGAAATAAGCGATGATTGAAAATGCCGCAGAAAATGATAGGAAAACAAGATAGATGAAAGAGAGTTCTATTAGAGGGAGGGGATGAAAGCGAAAAAAAAAAAAGAAGAAATGATTGAAAAATCAGGAAAGGAGAATGCATAAGAGCAAATGGACGGCACATAAATAGAAAGATGTGAGAAAAAAAGAAGAAAGAGGGGGGAGGACTAATAACGAGAGTAGAATGATGAAAAGTAGGTCAACTGAGTTGAGGAGAAAGAGAAAAGAAAAATTCAAAATGAAGAAGGAAAAGGAGTAGGAGAGAAAAAAGGGAAATACATACGAAAAATAGGTCACATGAGTTGAGAAGAAAGAGAAAAAAAAAAAGATTAGAGAAATGAAGAAAAAAAAACAGGGAGAAGGACAAATGAGAATAGAATCACGAAAAATACGTCACGTGAGCTGGGAAGAAAGAGACAAAGATTTGAGAAATGAAGAAGAAACAGACGGGAAGAAAATAAAAAAAAATAGAATTTCAAAAAAATAGGTCTCGTGAGCTGAGGAGAAAGACAATTCAAATACACGATCAACGTAAATGATCAAATAAAAAAGGACGCGATATTAGAGAGAACAGACAAAGATATAAGTGAAGGTAAAAAAAAAAGGACAGAGACAAGAGAATACGATATAAAAGAAAATGAAAAATATAAAATGTAAAATGAAAAAAAAAAAAAAACGAAGTGAGAGCAAGTGTTAAGATTCTATTTAAAAATCCGCAAAAATTAAAACGACAAAAATCATTTACTTTCTGTCGTTTTAAATTTTGCAGATTTTTAAATTAAATCAACGATTTGAAAAAAGAAAAACTCAAGGAATATTTGGAAGAAGAAGCCCAAACTTATCGTTTGTTGCCATAGAGAATTAAAGAAAACTAAAATCTTTATCGAAAAAAAAAAAAGGAAAAGAAATTATATGATGCAAAAACGGAGGCGTGAGATTATGGAAGGTTTGCTGAGGATGTTGACATATAAAGAATGCGTAAAAATGTAAATGGAAATATCAAAAATATCAATAACTCAAAAGAAATAAATGTACATAGAGTAAAGCTGCACACACGCATGCGCAAAATGTGTTACAATCTCATTATGTTACTCATGTAAGCTATCGCCAATGGCAGTAGACGAATGTAAGCGGACGAATTTAAATGAGAAAAAAAAGCAAAAATTGTTTTATTTAATGAAAGAATAGAAAAAAAAAGGAATGAAATCAAGCTGAAATACATATGTCTCCAAGATTGCAAAGTAAAATAAATATTGAAAAATGAAAAGAAAAAAGAAAAGAAAAATAATATGGAGTAAATTCAAAATGAACAGAATGAGAGAAAGAATTACGGTAAGGAAAGAAAAAAGGCTAAAAATAATGAAAACGAAAAAATACAAAAAAAGAAGAAAAGAATGCGATATAAAGAAATAGAGAAAGAAAGAAAGAAAGAAAAACATCAGGATATGAAAAAGGATGAAAAAAAAAAAGCAGAAGAAATGAATTTGATTGAGAATGAAAGAAAACAGGGCGAAAAGGGAAACAGTCAAAAATAAATAAATAAAGCAAGAAAAAAAGGTAAAAAATGAAATACACGCAAAATATATAAAGAGAAAAAAGAAAGCAAAAATTAAGAAATGTAAAGAGAATGAACGGTATAATGGAAAGAGAAAAAAATGCAACAAATGAAAAAAAAATAAAGACAACGGAAATCAAAATAGTGAAAGATAAAAAGAAAAAGAAACAGAAGAAAGTGAAAAATAATAATAAAAAAAACAAACAGAACGAAATAAAATAAAACAAATTAAAATATAAAGAAATGAAAGAAAAAAGAAATAACAGACTAAAAGATAAAATAAAGGACAAAAACGAGGAAAGATAAAAAAAAAATAAAGTAAAAGAACAAAAAAGTCATGAAAACAAAATGAAAGAAAAATTAAGCAACGAAAGATGGAACCAAACATGAGAATATGGAAAAATAAATCTCTATATCACTGAGGTGAGATATTATGTTTACTTACATTATTCGGACTCTTATAATTATCTTCATTGTCATGTTCACGGCGTTTCGGCCTCTTTATCAGTGAGATGAGGTATTATGATTACTTACATAATTCGGATTGTTTTCATCATCTTCATTGCAATATTCACAATGACTCGGCCGTTATACGCACCGGCCGTCTTCAGGTGATTGGAATTTCGAGTCGAACCTTTTATCCCGTCCACCGATGTAGATTGTTCTAGTTCCACGTGCCGTGCCTCTTCCGGATGTTTCTGTTATTTCCCTTTAACTCAAATCTCAACGTTTTGTTTCACCACTACTATAGCCTGGCAATTGCACTCGCAACTCGTTGTGTCTAGTCTCTCGATGTAAACAGCGCCTTTATCCACTGGGCCGGAAAAGTCATGGTACGTGGAACAAGAACAATCTAAGGCGGTGGAAGAAATAAAGGGTTCGGTTCGAAATTATAATCAACTGAAGAAGGCCGCAGCGTGCAACGACCGAACGTTGCAATGACGATGAGGATAAGTGTTTGAATAATGTAAATAATCTTAATAATGGAATATTAAATAAATAAAAAGAGAAACAGAATCAAAGAAAGAAAGAAAGAAAAAAAAAACAAAGAAACAAGAAGAGAAAGAAAAAATAGCGAAAGTGAAAGAAAATTTATAAAAGTGAAATAAAAAATGGAAACAAAAAGAAAAAGAAGAAAAAACAAAAAGAACGTAAAGGAAATGAATAAAATGAAAAAGAAATGCAAATTTTATGAAAAGGAAACGAATGACAAATCCAAAAAAAAAAAAAAGTTGAATGAATGAAATGGAAAAAAAAAGAAAAAGAAAGAAGGAAAAAGAAGAAAGCAATACACGAATGACAAAAATATACAAGAATGACAAAAAAAAACAGTTCAGAAATCAGATATATGGGAAAAGTTATAACGGGAAAATAACACAGCTAGAATGTAGAAGGTAAAAAATATGGCAAACGAAATACAAAAAAAAAAAATAAAGGCATAAGCAAAGGTAATATCGAAAGAATGTATGTAATAATCTATAGAGGGAAAACGAAAGCAGGATAATATGGAAAACTACATTCTAAATGTTGAAAGAAAAGACAACCATGAAAAAATAAAGAAAGATCAGACCAAAGAATAAGCGAATAAATATGTCTTAAGAAAATAAGGGTACATTTGGGACAGAGAAATAAACCAATAAAAAAAAAAGTGAAAACAGAGAAAAAAATCGAAAAAACACCTGCGGACGGACTCCGGCCAAAGGCGCAATGCCACTCAATCGAACATAATTACTCGACAACGGACATCCAAACGAAGAATTGTTTACGGCGGAAGATTATGAAATCCCACGCGAGAAATAAAAAAAAGAACACTAGTAGAAAAAAAAATAATAATAATAAACAAAGAAAAACTTATATTGTCGTTTGCATAATAATGGGACATTGAACAAAAAGACGTTGTTTTTTTAGATATATATATATATATATATATATATATATATATATATATAAATTGAGGGGCCGGAGGAAGAATTTCTTTTCAAGTCTGGCATATTTTCTCACCTGTCCTAAAGCAGCAAACCTTTTTTTTTTTACATACCTTTGTTTTCTTTTTAATTCCTATTTCCTGAAAGAGCAAATCAATGGCCGGTGATTGTTGATATTAAGCGTAAATGTTACTCAATAAGTATTTTTATTTTGTCCAATCATCAATCATATATATATATATATATATATATATATATATATATATATATAACCCTTCTTAAAAAAATTATAGGTAGACTGTAGAGTTCATCATACATAAAATAGGCAGTTACTTTTCAATGTTTATATATATATATATATATATATATATATATATATATATATATATATATATATATATATAAAGAAATGGACAAAGTCTGACAATTTATTAAAGACATTTTTTTACGTTTAACATTCTTTTTATAGATACAAGTATTTAAGTAAATGCTCTGTTTATAATAGACAGTATTTAACCGGCCTGGCCTGAATTTTCTATGAAAATTTCTCGGACATTCAGGCCGGTAAATGTTACTTAATACTGTTTATTATAAATAGAGCATTTACTTAAATACTTGTATCTATAAAAGAATGTTAAACATAAAAAAAAAAAAAAATTAATGATATATATATATATATATATATATATATATATATATATATATATATATATAATTTATCTATTTATGCAAATTTATAACATAAGCACATATATATATATATATATATATATATATATATATATATATATATATATATAATTTTATTTATCTATTCAAAATCATAACATAAACATGTGATACCATTCACTAGCACCACTTGAGAAGACACCAGAAGTATTGAAGCAAAATGGCTAGTTTTGTTTGTGATGTTAAAACACGTTTATGCTATAACTTGTGAATAAATAATATTTGCTCTACTCTATATTGAGCACTCTTTTTAAGTACAGTGTTTTTAATTATTTGAATTTTATTCCGTCTACACTAATCCTATCCTTGACATATATATATATATATATATATATATATATATATATATATATATATATATATATATATATATATGTATACGAGGTATATTTTTTGATATATCAAGAAATGTTTTGAAAGGAAATGTAGGAGAAACTGGTAAAAAAATTATACATAGATAAACATACAGTCTAAAAAGTAGGTATAATTGTTTTTATTTATTTATATACTGATACTTTTCAACAAGATGTGGCACCTCGTTTAACGCCCAACAATTTTGCCCTACTTAACGACAATGGAACATTTTTAGAGTGGTGGTGCATAGTAATGAATAACGTTTATCAGAAACAATAGACACCCAGTAGACGAATTAAAAGAGTTCATATACTGAGATTGATGCAGTCCCAAATTTTTGTCGTACTGTGTGCCACAGCGTTCTGTAGATGTTCGGGAATATATATATATATAGTCAGTGGTGCAGTCTATTTTGGCGGTAGCTTGTTTTGGCGGTTGTTTTGGCGGTTATTTTTACCGGGAGTTGTTTATTTGTTTATTTATTTGTTTGGGTTATATTATTTTGCCTGTTTTTTTTTTTTTTTTTTACTTTTTTTTTATTGTTTTATTTTTATTTCTTACCTTATATATTTCTTTATTTGTTATTTTTTTATTCAATCGGTGTTTTTATTAACGTAGTAAATATTTGTTTATATCGCTTATTTAATATTTTTGTTTTGGTTTGGGAAGATAATTAAAGCTATTTATTCAATTTTGGGGTTGATTGTTGTAGTTTATTCTAACTATTATTTTGGCGGGAACAGTTTTTAATTTGTTTATTACTCCATGTATTTATTTGGATTGATTATCTTTATCTGTTTTTTTCTAACGGTTAGTTTATCTGGATCAGTTTTTTTAGTTTATTTATTTGGATGAATTTAGGTCAATTTATTTTACTTGTTATTTTCTCTTGTGTCTTTATTTCTGTCCCTAACAAGGCCACAACAAGAAGATTAACAGATTAACATCGTGGTGTTTTGATCATTTTAAGGAGTGGGATTTGGGATAGCAAATTATTTAAACTTGACGACGCCTATCGAGTGTCAGGACTTTCGTCGAGATCTCATCATAAATGACCTCATAATCGACATGTAATATGATGGCAAGCGATAGATTGTAACAGTATATGAGGTTCCATCTCTTGTCGAGGAAGAGCACTTGGCCGCCTATCTGGGTCGATATGGCGAGATACTCAATGCTACCCCCGATGACCTGAAGGGGTGACAGAGTTTTGAGATAATGCTAGATATAAAAGCATTCATCTCCATCCCCAACTCTAGAGAGCCAGAAAATGCTGGTCATTTTGGCCAGCTGTAAACCGACCTATTGGAAGTGTAAAGAGACTGGTCAACTCTTTTCTTTACACCCATAAAAGAAGCCCTCTGAAATTATGTCACCTGCCGGCACAAGTTCCCTTCTGGTCAAGTCAGTTATTTCAGTCTCGGATGGGCGTTCTGAAGATTGGGACTTATGTTGTAAAACTCCCGTCTGGGTCCAACATGCGGCCACATTTCCTGAAAAGCCTTTGCCAGTTTCTTGTACGGTCGTGGGGATGGGATAGGTAAATTTCAGCCTTTGACGATGTTAAATACAGACTTGAAAATTTTAGCCAAGATCTTAATTCGGCGTTTGCAAGCTGTCTTGCCTAGTCTGATTGGCTTCCTGAAGACTTGTTCTGTGAAAGGCAGGAATATTCAGGACAACCTTTATTTGTTACGCTTAATCATCGAGCAAGTAGACAGTGAAACCGCGCTGATCAATTTCGTTCAGTCCAAGGTATTCGATAGGGTAGACCATCGTTTTCTAGAAGCTATCCTTCAGCCGCCGGTTTTGGGCCCTATTTTTGCACCTAGATCCGTCTTCTGTACGAAAAAACCGATGTGTTGGTGGAAGTGAA